CTGAATGGAGCACTGGGTGTTATACACAAACAATGAATCATGGAACACTACATCAAAAACTAATGATGTAATGTATGGTGATTAACATAACATAATTAAAAAAGATAAAAAAAATAAAGTAAATGTTGAATATGATGAATCTTAAATTTTCTTAAATGTGCCAGTGCTTTTTACAAATTAATAATATTTCAATCTACAATCACAAGTCTAAATCAATTACCCAATTACACATTTAAATTAGAATCACAAATTTATTTGCGATACAATCTAATAATGGCAAATTCTCTTATAAATAATGAATATTTAAAATGCCAAATATATACAAGTTTCTTAATACAAAAAATATTAAAATTATCTGCTTGATTTGCTGCATATTTTCTATATACAATTATTATTCTTCTCAGGGTAAAAATAGGTTTTCCCAATTAAGAAACAAATGAAGCATTCCAAATAGTTTTGGAGAGTATTTTCTTAACTGGCTGACATGCATATTGACTGTGGACATTTAAGGAGATTTTCCTAACTACCTTAAAGTTTTTATTTAAATTCCAGTTAGTTAACATACAGTGTAATATTAATTTCAGGTGTAGAATTTAGTGATTCAACACTTCCATACATGACCTGGTGCTCATCACAAATACATGCCTTAAATCCCATCACCCATTTAACCCATCCCATCACCCCCACCCACCTCCCCTCTAGTAACCATTGTTCTCTATAATTAAGAGTTTGTTTCTTGGATTGCCTCTCTCTCTCTTTTTTTCCCTATGCTCATTTGTTTTGTTTCTTAAATTTCACACGAGTGAAATCATATGGTATTTGTCTTTCTCTCACTGACTTATTTTGCTTAGTATAATACTCTGTAGCTCCATCCATATCGTTGCAAATGGCAAGATTTCATTCTTTGTAATGCAAACTGGTGCAACTCTGGAAAATAGTATGGAGGCTCCTCAAAAAGTTAAAAATAGAAGTACCCTACGATCTGGCAATTGCACTACTAGATGTATACCCAAAGAATACAGAAACACTAATTCAAAGGAATACATGCACCCAGAGGTTTATAGCAGCATTACCTACAATAGCCAAATTATGGAAACAGCCCTAATGTCCATCGACTGTTGGATGGATAAACATGTGTTATATATATACATTAGAAACATCTTTTATTTTGAGCAATGTGCTCTGAGAGCAGAAGGCTAAGCTGTGAGTCTGAACATTTTTGACAAATGTGTGTGTGTGGGGGCGCCTGGGTGGCTCAGTTGGTTGGGCGACTGCCTTCGGCTCAGGTCATGATCCTGGAGTCCCGGGATCGAGTCCCGCATTGGGCTCCCTGCTCAGCGGGGAGTCTGCTTCTCCCTCTGACCCTCCCCCCTCTCATGTGCTCTCTCTCTCTCATTCTCTCTCTCAAATAAATAAAATCTTTAAAAAAAAAATGTGTGTGTGTGTATATGTGTGTTGTATGTATGTTAATGATTTTAATGCTGGTAAGCAAAATTTCCTTGTAACAAATATATCCCATACATTAATAATAAATGCAGTTTCCTGATACAAATATGTTTTTCATACTTTCGGTCATTATATTTTAAAGGTTCAGAGTTATTTTTCAGGGAGATTCAACAAAAACCTATTAATCAGATTTTGTATTACTTACAGCCAAACACAAGTTTACCTGATACAACTCTGAACTTTTCAGAGAATTATAATCAAATAGTAATTTGAAGTTTTAAAGTAATTAATGTCAAACCATTATTTCCTATCAAGGTATCTTATCAAGTAACATTGTGTCCTATAATTTCTCCATTAATTTTAACCAAGGGTGAATCAAAATTTTGGAAGGCTTATGTTTTCATTCTATAGGAAAAATGTACACCAAATTTATAATAAAGGCTGCCTCTGGGAAGGGAGGGATGAGGGAAGAACAGGATTAAGGATGGGTACAAAGGGAACATCCACAGGAATACTGGTTTTATAAGGGCAAAGTACCAGATAACACATGCACCAGGTGTGCGGATCAGGGTCCATTGGTGGAAACCCATTGAGGTATATCAAGGACCATGGTATAGGTATAGGACCATGACTCCCTCTTGTCTCTACATTGCCCATCATCCTCTGTGGCCTTGCACTGCTGGAGAAGAGCCTTGATCCTTGGGCTGTGGATGTTTTAAGCAAAATGATTTCTGAAACTCTGGCACCTCCCTGATGTGTTCAAGGACCAGAATATTTTTGTGATATGACATAGTAGAACACTCCTGTCCTACCAACTCAGGGTTTGTGGCTAGGGGTAACATCAGCCTGATGCCTGGCATGATCAGGAGTATAGGGTCCAAGCTTTGCAGTGATAACTTTGTGATGTAGCTAGTTGTCAACAGGATTTACCACCACATTAGCATTATTGTTTGTTGAAGCACCACCTCCTCTTCTGGTGGGTTGTGGTTGGTTGCTGGGTCTAAGTCTTGCATTGAGCAGAATTATAGTTTAAGTACTTGGCAGAAGCTAATTTCAATGGGGCATTGCACAAAGCAACTTTTTTTTCTGGAGGTAGCCTGTGGAGAATCACTCCTGGATACTATTTCTATTCTTATGTTTCAGTATATAAATGTTTGCCATCTTTTTCTCTGTAGTTTGGGTATTTACGTATAGACAGTTCATTCATTCAACAGATATCTACTGAGTATGTACTATGTGACAGGGTCTGTTTTAGGTGCTAAGGATACAATAGTGAACAGATTACAGTAGTGATCTGTGTTAGTCCAAGTGAGAGACTGAACTAGAAAGAGATGGGTTTGAGAAGAAGCTTGGCAACTGATTTTGTGTCAAGACTTGAAGGATGGGGAATGTCATCCTTAGTAGAGGCTAAAAGACAGGACTGACTTATGTAATACCATCTCAGGTGTTTATAACTCTTCAGAGTTTGTAAAACACTTTTACATACATTAGTTCATTCAACTCTTATAATAATTTTTAGAAGTGGTTGTTAATATTTCTATTATACGTTCAAGGAAACTAAGATTCCCAGATATCAGTGATTTTCTTAAGATCACCTTCACTGTGTAGTAGAGAAAACTCTGGTGTTCTGCTTCCAATTCCATCTTTTCACAGTATCTTTCTTAAAAACTCATCTTCCATCTTTGGTTTCATCCTCTTACAGATTATTATTTTACCCCTTTGGTACAAAGATCATTATTATTAAATTAAATATAAAATCCTGAAATTCAGATATTTAACTCTCTCTAAATCAAGCACTGTAGGTCAGGAAAGAGTTTAAGATACCATTAATATCACAAGCTATTTTACAGATGAGAAAACTGAGGTTTAGATATTAAAGCTAAACAGGAGCTGTCAAAATGATCCCTTAACAACATCCAAATGGCCAACAGACACATGAAAAAGTGCTCAACAGCCCTCAGCATCAGGGAAATACAAATCAAAACCTCAATGAGATACCACCTCACACCAGTCAGAATGGCTAAAATTAACAAGTCAGGAAACAGCAGATGTTGGCGAGGATGCGGAGAAAGGGGAACCCTCTTACACTGTTGGTGGGA